ATCTAAATCTGTTTTGTTGCAGTTCCAGTTCATTCTTTTGTGTCCTGTCTTCCTTGTGCCAAAGGATAGGGATCAATATTTCTCTCTCCTCTTCATGACAGCCTTTCAAAAATTTGAAAACTGCTGTCACGTGCCCCCATAACTTCCTTTTCCCCAGACTAACCATACCTAGTTCTCTCAACCCTTCCTCATACAGCTCACTTTCTAATCCCTTTGTCATCTTTGCCACATGCCTGCATCCTCTGCAGGTTGTCTTCATCCTGCCTAAAATGTGGTGCAAAACAGGGCACAGTACTCCAGCTGTGGCCTGACCAACACTGAATAGGGGGTTACTATTACTTCCCATGCCCTGCATGTAAAGCTTCTGTTAATACAACCCATAAATCTCTCTGGAGTATTGCTTAATACAACCATTGATTGGTGTACATACAGCTCACACAAAGGCTCTGCTAGAAGGATTAACCAAAGCAGGCCTTGCTGAGAACAAACTAGGCATTGCCCATATTACTTACACAAGCATAAATTAGAAGGTACTGGGACAGGTAGGTTGTCAGGCTAGATTCATCACAAAGCCAATGGAAAAAGAAGATTGATAAGATCATACAAGATACCAAAATAAGGATCAGGACTACTTGGTTAACGTATTTTCCTACTTGGTGGGAAGGTCACAGTATTCAGTGAAAACGCAGATACAGATGCTGTCACTGAAAGATGTTGTAGTATTTGCTGAGAACTAGGATGCATGTACTGTAAAGAGGAGTTAAAAGGAGGGTCTGGGAATCTTGGCTATTTTGTATTAAGCTTGGAGGGTGCACTCATGAGTTATATCTGTACTTTACTATAAGCATCCCGGCCAACACCACATACCCGATGGCATGTTAGTGTCTAGGTGCTTTACAGGCAATAAACCTAGCCAAACTTTTGTCACATAAACTGGGTCTGCAGTTGTTTTTTCTCTAATAGCAAAGTCTTCAAGGGACACAGAGTGGCTACAGCAGCAGCACAGACAGCATCTAGACATAGTGCATGCAAAAACCACCCAAACTGAAGGAACTCAGTGAAACTAGGAACATCGGACCCTGCCTCTTAACACCGATAAGACTGTTGACCACTCTGACAACACAACCCAAAGTTGCATTTGCCTTTTTTTGTAACAGTATTACATGACTGATTTATATTGAGTCGGTGATCCATCATGACTCCCAGATCCTTCTCGGTAGTGCTACTCTCAAGCTACAAATACTCCATTCTGTATTTATGCATTTGACTTCTTCCTCACCTTACTGGTCCACAGCCCAGTTCTCCAATTTATCAAGATCCCTTTAAATTTTAATTCTACCTACTATAGTATTTTCAACGCTTCCCTGTTTTATGTTGCCCACAAGTTTGATCAGCTTACTCTCTATCCCTGCATCCACTCGTTAATAAAACTGTTTAACAGTACTGAACCCAAAAGAGTTGCCTATGAATGCTACTTGAAAATTCCTGATAATCTGACATCAATCCTTCAATAATTAATCTTTGCTTTTGGTTATTCAAAAAGTTCAGCCAACTATCTGTTCTCATTCTTCTCAAATCCAATGTTCTAGTTTTGTAATATTTGAGGCATTGTTAGGAGAACTCGTGGTATTTTGTAGCGTCCGATTACAGAGACTGATGTGAGGATTGGTCTGTAAAGTGTCATTTTTCATTACATGCTTCTCTGTTGATTCATTATTCTTGTTTTTCACACATACTGACATGCTCTGCATATACAGTGCTAGCATATTCGGCTTCCTGAAAAACATCATTATATTTTCCCCACACTTAAGAAAGAAAGATGTGTGTTTCCATTCCAAGTTACTTTTATTTCCCATTAAGAAAAAAGATCAAAGGAATACAGAGAAAATAGAAAGTCTCCTTCCTGCAAGGGGTGGGAGAGTTTGGCATTTACTCAGTCCCATTCTGCATGTTAACTGAAACACAAAATGCAACTTAACCTCACAGCTGCTCCCAAAATTTGCCAGGGATACTCATCTATATTTAAAGGTACAATGCACAAAAAAGCCAACTATTTTTTATTAACATAGCTACACTAGGAACATATAAAATCTTCTGGCCAATCCCTTACAGCTTGTTTCATCTATGAGGCTATGATGAACCTCAGGCAGCACACAAAGGACATGCAATTTGTGCCAAGATTACTCGAAGCTACCTAAAACCTTCCCTTAGCCTGATTGAAGTTTTGAGACATGGAGATTTTGGTGGTAAACCTATCCCCCCCCCCCCC